TTTTTTTTTTTTTTTTTTTATGCTCTTTAATTCATCCAAGCTATCGTCAGGAGGTATTTTTGTACCTACGAAGGGGGAAACACAATGTAAAATGGGCAAATATATGTAACTTCATATGTATACGTATATGTATGTGTAGACTGTTGAGCAAGCACGCCTGCACACATGCATGTGCACATGTGCACCCCTGGAGGGAGAAACATCATATTCATGTGAAATTTTTTCTCGTAACCTATTTCTTATGGACGGCCTGTAGTAATTTGACAAATCCCTAAAATGGCTGAACGACGAATCGTCCTTGGAATCTGCTTTTGGTTTGGCTGAGTCTAATGTTTTATCTTTTTTATCATCTGCCTTGTTCATTTGTTCGCTCATTTTTTGTTTATTAACCATCATTTCTTTTTCCAATTCTTGCAGCCTTTTCTCCCTTGACATTTTCATATGTTCACCTATTTTCTTATTTCTCTCAAATTCCGAAACTCTCTTTCGATATTTCATGAACTTATAAATAAGTATAAAACATATAACGCCGAACCCTAGCAGTATCACATTTTTGACTGTCAGGAAATCCACTCCCTTTTCGGGAGACCTCCTGCCCTCCCTGTCCATTTTTTTTAGCACACGTCAACACAGCCAAAAAAGAAAGAAGCATCAACACACATGCGTCGGCATAAAACCAACAAAATTAATTTACAATAAAGGATTCAATAACACCCCATTTGACATTTTTATTTTTCATGTCATTGTTTTATGCAACATAGAGAATAGGGTTTGCCCTTTTCAATGTTCCAGGGCTGTTTTATTCGGGAAGTTATAAAGTACCCTTAACTGCTTTTTCAGCTTTGCCATATACCCATCCGTAGTTGCAAATTAACAAAAAAAAGAAGAGAAAAGAAATTCATATAACACACTCGGTTTAGGTTTAAAAATGCAAAAAGGTAGAATGTTTTACCAATGAAAAATGGTTTCAGTTTATGTAAAAAATACGCGAATGTTTTTTTTTGTGGAGCTCCTTCCATTTGTTCACATCTCTCAAACAGTTTACACAAGCATCACCGTCATTATAGTGTATTACCGTTTTAACAATTTTTAATTTTTCGTTGTGCTTTCTGCATGTATGTATGTGTGCATGTGTGCCTCCTTTTTTTTTTTTTTTGTTGTTTTGATATGTACATAGGGGAACATAATATAATGACCTTTCTGCGTAAACACCCTTCCTTTAACCTCTCCACAGGGTATCCCCAGAAATAAGGGCAAATGCTAACTTCTCTCCCCCTCCGATTTTATTAAAAAGCAAAAGGGAAAAGGAGAGAGAGATCCTTTTAGTTAACCCTTAAGTGTTACCTGTTATTGTACAAGTGCGATCTTAATATTTCAACGTAGCTGAATTGTGCCCATTTTATACACATATATGAGGCAAAAAAAGTATATGTGACTTCTAACCACACCCTTTTTTTTTCTCCTTTCTGATGGGAACGATGATGCAATTAATGGTGAATTGCTCATCGCTCTTTAACAAAACAAGAACAAGTCTCACGGAAGCACAAAACCATGTCTTTGTAGGTACATTATATACTAGCTCGAAAAATAGAAAATTGTTCCATTAATAAAAAAGAAGAAGCCTTATTTCTGTTCGCTCATTTTTGTGTACCCTTTACTGCCACCAGTGGGGGAAAAAGACGCCCACCTCGTAAAAGTTGCTATGGGGAAGTTTCAAAGCACGTAGCACAGTTCTATTCGCCAATATCAGGGTGGTTAAGATGGGGGCTAACCAAAACGTATGCCTACATGTTATTATATATTAAATAGCGCACGCGTGTCTTTTTAACAGTAGCTCAATATGCACACATTATTTTTCTTCTACCCAGTTGGGCAACATTTCTCGCTCCCTCCGTGAGTGCGATTGAAAAGCTTTCCTTTTAAAAATAAAAGCTATTTTATTTATTTTATTTTTTTTTAAATTGTGCTGTGGTTATTACCAAGAAGTAATGGAAACAAATTGTTTGTTGAGAAAGGGTGTGGGAAAGTGGTTACTGAAAAGGTAACTAAAAATCACTGTTGTAGAACAGCGGGGGGGAATATGTATAAATTATACTAAAAAATGTGCAAATTATGCAATATCGCAGAATGCGCAAATTATATACAAATAGAGCAAATTATAAAAACTACATAAATTATGTATTGGTAAATGAAATTGTACAAATGGGACACGGGTGTGTGTGGTTTTTTAAAAAAAAAAAAAAAAATTAAATCCATAAAAAAAGGATCTGTATCCATAAATCAGAGACCCCTATTCTGTGAAGAACGGATATACACTTTTTTTACACTTGAAAAAAAAAAATTCATGTCATTAGCAATTGATCACGTGATAAAGTACGACACGTAAAATGCAAACTGGGGAAGTCAGGGGCATTACATAATCTTCCCTCCCGTAGTGCCACTCGTGTATATACAGACATACATGCACACACATATATATACACGTATGAATATGCGCAAGATGCACGGGAGAGGGGGGGGGGCCTGGACTACTTCTTACTGTTGTTAGTTCTACGCTTATGGCTGTTCTGCAATTTTTTCACTAACTCTTCTCTATACTTTTTGTACACCTCTTTGGACTTGGTCATGATTTCGCTGTGTGTGAAATTAATAATGTCAAAGAGGAAAAACGGGACCAGGAAGAAAGTGCCCCATTCTGCCTCATTGGCCCATCCGGACAGGAGAGTTAAGAACACATAATAAAAAAAGTAGTGAGTTTGTGAAAAATGTAATTCTCCCAACTCGATAAACACATTATTAAAAATATATCTTGTAAGGAGGTGTATCAAAGAACGAGATTGATTCCTTTCCTGATGAAACAGTTCATTTCCGTTGAAAATATTTTCACCAAAATCATGATTTAACGTCTTCAAATCATCAACCTTAAAAACGATAGATGATTTTTTTTCTTCTTCCGGGTCCTTAAAATCCTTAATTCCAGGAAATGCCATAATGTATGGGATGGGGTCATAATCAATACTGATGTTGTTACTAATGACACCACTGTTTCGAAAGTCTTCTGAAAACTGATCATCATAAAACATGGGCATTCCATAAGTCACGGAGACCACCTTCACTTTGGGATTATTTTTAACGTTCAAAATTTTGGCTAAATAAAAGGAGCTCAAATGAGCCATAGCTGCACCAAAGGAGTGACCAGTGAATATAATGACATATGGATTCTCTTTGGTATACTTGGACTTGTCATCTTTTATTTCCTTTAAAATGTTTTTCTTCAACACACGCAAGTATGGCCTCACTATTCGTTTGAATAAGAATAAATAAGCCTTGTGCAATTTCCCCTTAGTCAAAAAAGGGTACGAACTTAATTCGTGTATCACATTGATCATCCACATAAATGGGCTAGCTGTTCCTTGAAAAGCTACAACATTTTCTACCAAGTGGAAATTGTTTTTGTCATAATTTGGTAAGGGGTATTTTTTGCTTCTCTTGAAGGATACAAATAATTGAAGAGAATCAATGTACCTAAAAAATGCATACTTATCTTCCTCGAGATGATGTAAATTTATTACCTCAGGAACTAAGGCACTTCCTACGTGATCTATATACCACGGGTTGGGAATAAATTTAGATGCTTCCCATTTTTTTATCACATTCCACATTTTATTTATTAAATATACTTTATGGGTAAATAAATAACATACATACCAAGTTTGAAATATTTTCTTCTTATCTTCAGGCGCATTTGTAATGTCTTTCAGCAGGTCGATATCAATTTGTGTTTGCATATTGGTGGGGACAAAAATGTCAACGACGTTTGAATTCAGATATTCAAATATAGGTAAATCTACAACATGATCAGTAGATATGAATTCTTCTCTTTCTTGGTCCGTTAAGAAATAATGTTCCTTCATGTACGTTGTATAAGCTAACATAATCATACAGATGAACTTGATTAAATCATACCACTCATGATTTCGAGCCATTAAATTATTTAAACATTTCCCAATGTTAAGTTCATTTTTCGATTCCTTTACAATTTCTTCATTTAGCAGAAAAAGAATATCCAGCAATTTTAATTCTTCTACATTCTGAATGCACTGTTTTATGGGTAACTTATTAAACTTTTTAACTATATGAAAAAACAGACGATACAAAACTGATTTTTTGGCCTTAATTGGGATTTTATTAACAGAAGGTTCTTTTTTTAAATGGTGTGCTAAGAAACATATATTTTCCACCAGCGTACCCTTCAAAGGTAAGTATTCCCCATTACACATACTAGATCTTATGTAAAATTCTTTAAACATGATAGGATCTATATCTATTTTAGACAAATCAGCAAAATAATTAACATCTTGAAATGTCGCATGGTCTTCCTCATCACTGGTTTCTACAAAATTCGAATAAAATTTCTCACTTGCCTGTTGTTCATTTACAATATGTAAATTGTGTAATGAAAAATCATACCCTTTATGGTACTTCATTTTTAAAGCATATTCATTTTTGTAATTTATATCTATTAATTCCCTATTTCTTATTATTTCCTTGTAAAATTCATCTAGCTCATCATCTTTCAACATCTCCCTGTACAACTTCAGGTCCCTTTTATACCTTTCGTACACATTTACATTCGTCGATTTGTATAAGAATCGGTCTCTCTTCCCAAATTCTTCTTTTTCTTCCTTCATATCGTCGTCGCTATCACTTAAACTCGATTGCGCACTTAAGTAACTATCCGTTTCCCAGGTGTCAGACTTAGAGCCTTTAAAGGGAGAAGTAGTCACATCGTCCATTTCACTAAAATCGTCTTTTTCTGAAAGCCCCAAAGATACTTGCATTTGCTCCACTTCGTCCATGTACTGATTTATTACATCATCGATATCGCCTACTTGCTCCTCCTCCTCTTCCTCTTCTTCTCCCTCATCGACTTGTTCTACCTCCTCATAGTCGTCGTCGTCATCATCATAATCATCGTAGTCGTCGTAAAGTTTATCTTCCAAATGTACGTCTTCCACCTGTTTGTTCTGTGCGTCGTAAATGTTGGTGCTGCTATCATGTTGAGTGCCCAAATTTTCCTTTTTCATTTCGTCATGCTCTACGTTCACTTCTCCTCTTCTCCTCTTCCACTTCCTCCTCTTCTTCGACTTTGCGACTGTGTTTTTCCCTTCATCCACCCTTCCGAATATCATATTGTTTGATCCTATTATTGACACTAGGTTTTCATTACTCCCCTGTAGCGAAGTGGAAGGTTCCACTGCTTCCCCTTCTCGCAAGACCTGCGCACTCAAGATGTCTAAATGTGTTCCTGCTTCTGCATCGCCTCCCCCCAAATGTTCTTGTGTATTATTTATACCTTCTCCTACGGGATAATAATTGTCTAAGCTCGTACGAGAACCAAAGCTTCCTCTTGGTACAATTCTTTCTTCGTCTTTTATTTCCTTTTGTCTTTTGTCGTAATCAGTGGGTTGGATCGTTTGATAATTTCCGTCTATCTGTTGTACCGTTCCCTCTTTGTCCAATGATGTTTCATTTTCTACGTTTTTATTTTCACACACATCTAAATCTCTGTTAGGAAATTCCGTTACCAAACATTTTTGTTCATGTAACTTAAAATCTTCATCTTTTTTTATATTAGTCCTTTTATTCGTTACTGGAAATGAATTTGATTTTTTGTTTTTTTCTTTTTTGTCAACATTTTCTGGTTCGCTTGGTTTACTTTTTCTTGAACCGTAATTCCAGTAGGTACTGAACCAACCCCTTTTAGTCTTTTCTTTTTTTTCGCTCCATTTTTGTTCCTCCTGGGTCTCCTGTTTTCCGTTTTCGTAGTTATGGGTGTGTGTCTCCTGTGTTGTGTCCCCTTTTGTTTCTTCATCCATTTCGTCATCTGCGTCTTCATTTGCATCTTCTTTTGCGCCACTTGCACCTGGTGGAGTGGTTATATAATTCTTGTTCACCCGTTGGTTGGCTACATCCTTTCCTGAAGACCTTTTATTAGCTGTTGTCATTTTTCCATGAGAGCTTTCGGAATGAGCTGTCCAATAGTCTACATCGGTTGATGCACTAGTTGATGGGACTGTCTCGTTATCTATGTGCGAGAGTATGCGGTCTGCCACCCGCTTTCGAGTAGATACGGCAACGGTTAGGACGTATGGTTGGACTATTTGGTACACTTGTTCACTGAGTAGAGGGATTGCCAGAATCCATTGGTTAGCTTTTTCGTTTGGTAGGAGGTTTTCTTGAATCACTTGGTCCACATTTCCGTTCGGCAGAGAGATTGCCTCAACCAAGTCGCCAACTCTTTGCCTGTGTGCATGGTCTTCTTTGGTCTTTTTGTGCTTCCTGCTTTCGACCTCCTTCCCTACTTTGGGTCCCACTTGGACTTCAATTTTCTGTCTGCATTTTTTCTGCTCCCCTTCCTGTACGCACCACCCCTTATCACCACCAAACGCATCTTCACCCCCCTTGGACAAATTCGCATTCCCTGTGGGAATGCCGTTTTCAGCATACTCGGGGTCTGACCATTTCAAAGCATCACAGTACTCACAGTCGCTACTGAACACAATGGACTTAACATTTTTTTGGTTAATGGTTATGTCATCACAATAACTTAATACTTTTATAATGTAGGATAAGAAGAGGAGACTGAAACAGTATAATAATACGCATGGTATCATTTTTCTTTAAAAAACAAAAACAAAAAAAAAAATATTAAATTCATGTTCAAATGATGGCATTGTTTGGGGGGGATCAACAAAATGTAAAATGTGTTTATAATAATCCAAAATTCATCAAAGTTCAATTTTTTTTTTTTTTTTGTTCTCTATTCTTGCAACTTCCAGTGTGATCAAATTCTCTTGCATCCGTCATTATATATATACATATACATATATATATATATGGTGTTACACCTTCAGTGGGGGATTGTTAAAGTGTAATGGTTACAGCGCGCTGTGGTTTTACAGCGTCGTTTACACAAACCAGGCGTTCCACCTATAGAACGAGGACGCTGTAGAGAAAACAGCACACTTAGTAGCTATGCATTACACGTTCCTCACTTTCTTCAAAAGTACTTGTGTATAATATAACAAGAGGGGGAAAGGTGTACAAGGCAAACACACAGCAGTCGTGATGACGGTCAAAAAAAATGGCGGCGGGAAGAAATTATATACCACGTTACATTGCGTGAACAAGTTGCAATAGTAAAACACCCCAGCAGTGACAACATTGTTTTCTATATAATTTGTGTGTTATGTTAGGAAAAAAAAAAGTGAAAGCCACAAGGAGAAATAAAAAAAAAAAAAAAAAA